CCCACTGTGCAAAAGGGTATTCCTTACAAAATGTTCATACCCTTCATTTCTGGGGTACCTGGAAGTCTGGAAGTTCATGTTCAATGGGACCCCCAGGCCCTGCGCGACAAACAATGCGGGGAGCGTTGCCCTGAGCCCCGAAACGGGAGCATGCGGCGCCCTTGGGTGCCCTGCGCATGGAGGTCGCATGCATCCAGGCAGGCCATAATTTGGGCCTGACAGGGTACAGCGAAACAAGCAAACAAGCAAGCACACAAACAAACAAGCAAACAATCAAGCAAGCAAACACACGCAAACAAAAAACAAACGAAACAAAACAAAACAATCAACAAACACATATTATAAACAACTCAAGCAAACAAACATAATAACAGCATAGGACGCTCTCCGTCGCGCCACGGAAAACGAGCAACCCGAATACGCATAATGCGCTTACGCAGGAGAATGCTCACATATGTGGCATGTGCAAGAACTTGGATGGTATTGGATGGAAGATATGGACGCCTTCACTGCAATGAGTCCATGATACTCGAAATCACAGTGGGAACGCATGCTTCCACCAACATGGGTGTCATGGCAGGGGTGGCCTAGACAAGCAGCAAGCGACAGTCTCTAGTCTTCAAAGAAACACCTTCCTGGGCTTTGCGCGTCTGGTTCAATCCAAGTGCCGCCGGACCTGCGCGCGCTCAATCCCACCTTGTGCCATTCCTTGTCCCAAGGTTTATAAACAACGAAGCAGCGCACGCTGGGTTTGCTGCAAACGGATAGCCGCTTGTTCTTAGCTCTGGTACTTTCTTTGCCTGATGTGGGATTGAATTTGATTGGGAATCCTTGGTGCACAGCAGAACTAAATGCACATTTAAATTCACAAACCAGTTGGCGGTGGGCACCACCAATTTTAGAACCTATTTTTTGCTGGATTGGGATGCTCATCAGGGATACCATGCTTTGACCCACAGAAGGGACGGGTTAAGTGGTCAGTAAGCCTGGTGAGGTAAACTGAGCAGAGACTTATGGCCATGGTAGGGGAGTTTCAACCAGGCTTACTCATGGCCAAGATGGTGGAGCAAGGGATATCGTGGATACAAGCTGAGGCCAGTTTTAGACATGTCAAGCTCTCGACCGACCCATACCCATTCTCTGGTCACTGCACGTTCGCTTCATGTTGAATCTAAGCTCACGTCCAAACATCAGTTTCCGAATTGCAGCAACGCAAATTGTGGACGGCATACTATGCGGCATAGATTGGTCAAACATCGTAGCAAAGGACATTTCATTTTCTTTCTCTATTAATCATAATCATACGGGTGGTGATAGTTTTTTGAGGGTACCCCTTTTCGGTAGGTAAAGGGACGCCAAAAGGAGCACCCGACTAACGAGGAGACGACGCCAAATTCACAACTAAGAAAGAAAACCAAGCCACAACCAAAAAAAGAGACAAGCGCCAATAAAAAAAAAAAGACCTACCCCGACTAACTCAGGAAGGATATTAATTGTCATGTCATGTCACAACTCTAAATTTTGCAAACCCTCACAACATATAGATTCCCTTCATGCTGTGTCAAAGCGAAACCAACGGGCCAGCGATGTTTTAGAGCACTGATCTTGCGTCACTCTTGTTCCGAGGCAGGAACAGAAGCACAAAAATCACCGACTTCGGATGTTTGTGCTGACATTGAGAATCCGGAACCTGCCTTTGCTGGATGGTCTGGAAAATCGACCGCCTTAACCAGCTCTTTTCCGACTGTCATGCGTTTTCCGATGCTCAAGTTCCGATGCTTGGGGGGCGCCATGTCTTAGATGGCCCGATAAACCCATGAAGTGCCTGAGTGGTGCAGAGGCCTGCATCTCCAAAGGGGTGGCAAGGTCGAATGGTTCAATTCCCAAGGGTGACCTCGCGGTTCTCTTCGGTGTGTGTTGTGTTCGGCTGCGTGTTGCGTTCGGTCTGTGTGTTCTGTGTGGTTTGTGTGTTGTGTTCGGTCTGGACGCCGAAAAAGGGATAAACTCCAGCTGAGCTATGATCAAAACCTGGCATTAAAATGGTCGTAATCCCAGAACCATGCTTCAAGAATTCAAAAGGCTGATATCCGCACCCATGTATGTTTGGGATTCCTTACCAACCTTCATCTACCCGAATCGGTTTTGAGCTGGCAAACACCTGCAGCGTCTCTGCCACCTTCCGCTGGCGCCGGCTCACTGCCATGCCTCACTCGTCAATATTTCCAGCAAGTCCTCGTGGCCCAGTGGATTTCAGACATATAGGTAACCCTTCGCTATTTTCCTTTTGGCTTTAAGGGTGGCAAACTCTTACTTACACGCGTAATTGGATCCGCTGGGTGGCACTTACCGTGCAGTCAATATCACAGTTAGTGCGCTCCACAAATGCATTTTTTGCAGGGTGGATTCAAAATTTCAGTGAGATAAAAGACACCACCATTGCGCGGGAAACCTATGACTGGCCAAATGTATGTGTGAACACCTGGCTTGTGGGTCAAACGCTGGAAAGTCATCCAGGGCCTGATGAGGCCGCAAGCAAAGATCGCTCTTCTTCCCCGCAGTCGCCTGACGCGTACACCAGCCTCTGGACACATTTTCCAACAAACTTGTAATGCTTGCCTGCGCCCGCGTGACACGTTTTGTGTTGTAGGCATCTTCCAACGAGACACCGCCCGGCAGCCGTGTAAGTAGGGCTTCGAAAATCCCCGACATAAACCTTCTCATCTGCGCACCACTTCTTCACTGGAGACCGGAGCACCTCAGCACTGTCATGGTCGGGTGCTGTTTGGACATGCTGTTGCAGGAGCTCATATTTGAAGCGAGGATGTCTTATTTTGACCCAGCAGAAGGGTGCTACATCAGGCTGGCACCCAGCAGAAGGGTGCTGCGTCAGGCTGGAAGGTTTAGTGTTGGAAAAGGGGGCCGGTTTTTGCTTGGCTAGATTTGAAGATGAGGAGCCTTTTCCATCCTGAGCCTGGCCACTCTCCTCCAGCCCACAGAGGAATGCTTTTTCCTCCTCATCTGATGAAACCACTTCTGTGATAACAGCAGTGCTCTCTTCCTGCACATATTTCACAGGGCTGGATCCACCTTCTTCTTCTTCAATCTTGTCCAGCTCTGCTTGCAAATGGGCTTGGTGGTATACTCCGTCAGCATAGCCAGCCTTTTTCCAGCTCTGCCAATCCCAGTGCTTGGGGCTCGACACGGAATTGAGAGGGCCTTTGACCCACAGATTGGTGTTCGGGGCCTGCCTCATGAAATAGCTTTTGCTAAACATATTGATGCAAATCTTCTTTCTGATATAGGATTTCGTCCCACATTGGGGACAGATCCTCAGATCTTGCAGGGCCTCGCCGGCCATGGGCTTGAAGAGTGACATTGCGTCTAATTGTTGCTGCTCGCTCCTACTCGTAATTTGGCAACCTCCGTGCGTGCAATTGTTTGCCTATTCCTTTGCCTTCTGTCTTGCTTCCTGCTCAGGAGCTGCATGACTTGCAATGTTTGCTGCTTGCAGCCGACTTCTTGACAGATTATCAGCAACATGCAGCATGCGCTTTAATGCCAAGCACTTTCGAGACGAATTCCTTCAAAGGCTGCAAGCAGAATGTGCGCCCACGCAGCCTCAAACACGATAGGCAACAGTGCATGCAGCCGCCAGCTGCCCAAACCTCAGGATCAAGACACGCACAGGCAAAGAAGACAGACAGTCTAAGAGTCTAAGAGTCCTGTGCAAAGCATAGAATCTCCTACAACTGCGACAAGCATGACTCTGGCATGAACAGCAACACTTCTGCCACAGATTTCTGTTGTTATTTATTCATCAACTGCATCCTACCAAGGAGCACTGCTCTCATCAACTGCATCCTACCAAGGAGCAAATTATACACCGCTGCACAGGTGAGCCATCTGTCTCATCAGTCACTCTGGAGTATCTGAGGCCCTGGCAACACGAATGCTAGCTCCGCACTCTCGCTTCTGAGGCCCTGGCAACACAAAACAAGCAAACCAGCACACCGGCCAGACCCTTCCAGAAATTGCTGCAGCAACTCACGCCTCAAAAATCCAACAAAACACTTGCGTGACACAAAATCATGCAAATGGACTGAACAATTGCACACATGCGTTTCAATTAGCAAGAAAACCTTTTGTGGCTGCCCACAATGCGACTAAGCCTCTCAGTTCAAAGTCTTTGCTGCCTTCGGCTTCTGCTTTGCCAAATGATCTCTGCATGCTCCAATGCAAGCATACCAAGCATCTGCAATGGT